GTAGATAAAAGTACAAGGTTTTGGTTGAGTTTTGTTTATGATCTAACACAAACCACATGTTTTGGTCAATGTTATAGAATAAAATGATGATTTTTTAACATTTTTTTTTATATCTAGGTAGCTAAAATGGTGCATGCTATCAAAATGGGTTGGATCAAACCACGTCCTCCTCAGGATGATTCCCAGAAGTTTTACATGTTGTGGGATAAAGATGACCAGGTATGCTTCTGTTTTGTTTAAATAAACTTGCGAGTAACGTAATATACTCTTTCTCACTTTATATAAGATGAAATTTTAAAGTCAAAACTCAAATCCGGATTGATTGGTTTTAGGATTATGACGTCGAGTTCAGTTCCAGTTAGTGAGATAGTCCATTGTGCTAAAACACGAATAAATCAGAGTGTAAGTGGGATTTTTTTTCCCTATAATATCTGAAGAGAAGCTTGACTAGCAGTGCAACATCTCTGATACTTAGAATTTGTCTTTTTTTGACAGGCATTGATATCGAAGAGGATTCAACATCATATCCCTGCACCGAAGATGAAACTTCCTGGACATGAGGAGTCATATAATCCACCACCTGAATATCTGTTCACCAAAGAAGAAGTAAGTAAAACATATACAGAGATACAAGCTGCATTACGGTGTGTCATTTTGTACTCATGATAATGATGTAAGACATGTTCTTTAGAATAATATATATTTATTTTTAATGTGTTGTTTTAAGAAAAAATGTTCTTCAGTTTCAAAAAGAATGAATTAAGGAAATGATTTTGAACATCTTTTTATGTTTTAGGTACGTCATTTGATAATGTTTATATGTTTTAGGTACGTCAATTGATAATGTTTATATGTTTTATGTACGTCAATTGATAATGTTTTAGGTACGTCATTTGATAATGTTTATATGTTTTAGGTATGTCATTTGATAATGTTTATATGTTTTAGGTACGTCAATTGATAATGTTTATATGTTTTAGGTACGTCAATTGATAATGTTTATATGTTTTAGGTACGTCAATTGATAATGTTTATTTAGTGCTTACTTCAGTAGAAATCGTTCGGTATGGTTCCTACTTAGTGCTTACTTCAGTAGAAATCGTTCGGTATGGTTCCTACTTAGTGCTTACTTCAGTAGAAATCGTTCGGTATGGTTCCTATTTAGTGCTTTCTTCTAAACAAAAATCTTGTTTTACAGTAGATCATATCTAGTTTTCTAACGTTTAAAAAAATTTTCAACTAACTTTAAAAATTGTATAGCTGTTTGTTTTAGATCAAAATCTATTTCCTTCAATGTTTATTAGAAAAAAAAATCCTGTTTACAGGACAAGTTATTAAAAAGGTTTTATTTCAGTGTATAGGTACTCCTAGCAAGATTATTAAATACCTGGCATTGAATATTCCACAGGCTACTATACACCGGGAATTAAGACGTAGCGCAATGACGATTCAAAATCAGACAAATGACCTTACCTAAATTTTCTTTAAAAGCTAGTAAAAAAATGTTTTCATGCATCAAGAAGAGTTCAGACTTGTAAACATATAACTTGTTTTAACCACTGATTGTTGAATCCTGTAGGGTTAACTAAAAGTTGAAACATCTATTGCATTAAAAACTGCAATCCTATGTGTTGTATTTTAAAAAAGGTTTCAAATATAATCAAACATTCCCTAATCGTTATTCTAGTGTGATCCTAGTGACATCGAACAGGGAGGCCAAATAGAGAAAACATAAAACTATACTATTTTTTATGATTTACAGACATTTCTAAAACTTACGATGGACTCCACGGTAGGGAAAGGTTGAAGATCTTTTGGCTTTGGAAGTTTAGGAATCAGTTCTTCAGGGTTTATTTTCACCTAAAATGAAATTTTTTACTTTAGACTGACTTGTTCTTGCTATTAAATTTTGTAAATGAGTTTCAAATTAAAGTTTTGTTTTTAATAACATCAAACTGAGGTCAGATATTAAAAGATAACTCTAACAACGTATTAAACTTTACAAGTCAGGGAACCATTTTTTGAAAAACAATAAAGCTCCGTGACAATACTTAAAAAGATTCTGTTAACCAAGAGAATTTGTTAATATTATCCTAGTAACGAAGAAAGACAAAACGATCTGTTCGACAAAAATGTTTTCTTCTTCTTTATATTTTGTTTGTTTTTGTTTTTGAATTTCGCGCAAAGCTACACGAGGGCTATCTGCACTAGCCGTCCATAATTTAGCAGTGTAAGATCAGAGGGAAGGCAGCTAGTCATTACCACCCACCGCCAACTCTTGGGCTACTCTTTTACCAATGAATAGTGGTATTGACCGTCACGTTATAACGCCCGCACGGCTGAAAAGGCAAGCATGTTTGGTGGGACAGGGATTCGAACCCGCGACCCTCTGATTGCGAGTCGAGCACCCTAACCACCTGTCCATGCCGGGCCGTCTTCTTTATAGACAGGAATAAATGGTACCGATATATTAACTTTTAGTCATTACCTTTTTTCTATAAAATGTTTACATTTATTTTCTCTAACTTCTGTCTCTATGTCATCCTAATTCTGAGATACTTTAAATTATATACTTCAACATAAAAAACAGTAAACTTTTTAAACATAATTAGAATTGTTTTATTTCTTTTACTAAAGATCAATCATCTTCGATTTCTTTGCACTTTCTTTAATAACTAGCTGCAAACAAGAGTGACGCATAATTCAGGTACAAATATAAATCTACCATTTACTTATTAATAAGTATTTTGAGGGATGAGGACAGCAGTTTTTTGTATTTTTCTGTTTGTTATAGCATCATTGCCAACTTTTGGGTACTCTTGTCTGACGAAACAGAGAAATACAACTGCTGTTTTATAGCTTGAATCCTCAGTCCAGGCACGCTAACCACTAAGGTAAGTTATCTGACCACAAATACAACTGACTAGCTAGAGTTCCAGTACTGAGAATTAAACCGAGTTCTTTGTATCTTAACTTTTTTTAATGCCAGTTTATAATCAATGTTTGGATACGAGTCATACTTACTCTCATCTTTCGCTCACGTGGACAAAGGTAAAGATCCAAACACCGTTCAAATCGTTCTTTGATCAAATCCGCATACATTGGCACCATTCTAAGGCAAGAAAACTTCTGAGGAATGAAATTTGTCTTTCTCTCTTCCGGTTCCTTACTTCTCCACTTTTCTTCCTGTTCCGTTGCAAAAAAACATTAGTAAGAAAAAAATCCCGATGTTTGCAAAACCCATGTGTACTTGAAAAAATTCAGAAAAGCTCATTAAATGCACCAGTATTTTTCACGAGTTTATGCTTTGTCTTCTTCAGAATGGAAAATGAAATTCTTAAAATTGAACAAATTAGAATTGTGTAGCTTTTAGATTTTATATAATCTTTCGCGTGTAAAGATATATACGTTCCCACAAGGTGACACAATTTGTATCATCGACCTAGATGTCATAACAAGAGCTGTCACTGCTTGAAACAAGAGTTCTGTGATGAAGGCACAGATATTGTTACTTAGTGTAGGCTTATTTGCTTTAACAGTTCCAAGTTATCAGCCATTTTGTATACGAGAAAGATCATCATAGGTAGAGAAGATTGTATTAGGTCGGAAATTTACGGACTATTTATTGGACCTTATCACCATAGTCAGAAACTTAGCTCAAAAACATAATCTAGAATATTACCGACAAACGGTGTTACCAAACTAGTTGTTCCAACAAACTTCATTATCCAAACCTTGAGGAAAAACATTTGAATATATGATTCAGTGATAATATAATCAAAAAACAGGAAACCAACAAATGAAGGAAAACATCAAAAAGTTCTATAAGATAGCACTGTTGTCATTAAATGACGTACCTAAAACATATAAACATTATCAAATGACGTACCTAAAACATGGTAGGAACCATACCGAACGATTTCTACTGAAGTAAGCA